TGCAGTAATCATAAGTGTTGCCACAATAAATATTGCAATATGTATTTTTTTGATAAATGTCCTTTAAGTAGGCAAACTATGCCCAATATTACCAAATACTACTAATAATAGCATTGAGTAATAGCCCTTCCAAAAGCAAAAGACAAAGAAGAAAATATAACAGTTTATGTTCAAGAGGCTCTTTGCTGAAGACAATGTCATGACAACATTTGGTGTTTCTTACGTATGTTAACATTTACCTGTTGTTTGCAAATGACAGATACTATGGTGGTTTTAAAGATAAGGGTTTAATCCCTGAGTTCCAAGAGTTACCAATGTTTTAAGAAAATTGGGATAGGATGGTAACTATAATGAAAGGCTGTGTGTCATAAATGTATTAGCGGTCAAAGACAATGGGTATTGGGAGGAAATAATTCTGGTTATAGAAAATCATAGAGCCAATGAAATATGATCGTATCTTAAAAACAAATAGGATTTCAACATTATGAAGTTAACAAGTTTTCATAACTGAAAGTGTATCAGGAGGGAGAGTAAAGGAGAGAAATAACTGTATAAGGGTTCTTGTCTCGTTATCCCCAAACCGTCACCCAGACTAGGCACATCTTCCTCCATTTCTGACCCTCATCCTCTAAGAGAAGTTCTATTTTTTTTCCAGGCTAAGTACAGAAGGACATCAGACAAGGAAAAGTTCTTACCATTATGTAGTTTTGTTTACATAAAGAAGCAACACAGTAAGAAGCTTAGAAACAATGAGCAGTGGGAGAGAGAAAGGCGTGCTTCATGAGCTAAAGCAGGGAGGGTTGTTGGGGATTTGGTATGCAGGGAACTCCAGAGCAGTGGTGAGCACAAGAGGACTGGGCATTAGTGGAAGAAGTTAAGAGGAGTTTCTATGGGTTAAAAATGGAATTTCCTTTAATGTTCCTAAAGACAAGAAAGCAGAGTGGATTTCTCTGACCAAATTTTGGCTGCTGGAGCATGTTTCCATAGATACAACTTGAAAGGCTTTTGCATGAGGCCTGGATTTTATTAGGTTTATTATCATAGACTTTATTCTCAAAGACCTACAGAGATCTCAAACAAATACTCTATTACAGTGGCAAAATATTCTATATAGAGGCACTCGGTATGTTTTAGGTGATGATAGATGGCCACATTTCATTGGGATGATGGCTTATGAAAATGACAAGTGAAAAATCATGGGCGGAAAAATAGTATGTGTCATGCATGCATGTTTGGAGGAGGGGGCTGGTTGGCCTGTGATTGCCTTGAGGGTCATGATATTGAGATGGGTTTCACTGTGGAGGCAAGTAAAAGACATTAAAGAGCTTTGTTCAGACAGTGAGGTGACCATTGTTATTCCTCAGAATCTTTTATCTGGCCGTTATGTGTACATGAGGTAGAGGAGAGACACTAAGGATAGGAAAGCTAATTACTTTAGGAGGCTGTTGAAACATTCTTGAAAGAGTGTTCAAAACTTTTTGATTGTGCATCTCTCATGTGAAAAATTCGAAGTACACTGGGCATGGTGGCTCATGCCTGTAATTCCAGCACTTTGGGAGGGCAAGGCAGGAGGATACCTTGAGGCCAGGAGTTTAAGACGAGCCTGAGTAACAGAGCTGGACCCTGTCACTAGAAAAATTTAAATAATTAGGTGGATGTAGTGGCATATGTCTGTAGTCCCATTTAGTTGGGAGGCTGAGGAAGGAGGATCGCTTGAGCCCAGGAGTTTGAGGCTACAGTAAGCTATGATCACCCCACTGCATTCCAGCCTCAGTGAGACAGCAAGACCTTATCTCTAGTAAAAGAAAAAGAAAAAACCCACCAATTTGGAGCATTCACTACCACACTACCATATTGGGTTGTTTGTTTATAATTTCTCTCTCTCTCTCTCATCTATTTATGTTATAAACATTATAAAACATTTATAAACATAGAAATACAAATGTCCTAATTTATTGACATATTATCCTTTTTATTATATGCTGACCATTTTGAAAACTTCTCATCTAGATAGAAGGTGACGAGGATCTTATTACAATTGTGGAGGTAAAAATAGCCAGGTTGAGGACAACTGTAAAGGTTGTCATATTTGTCCAACTGGATTGGGACATAAGGGAGAGAGAAGTGGAATAATGACTCCCACATTTCAGACTTGTTAAAAAGGTAGAATAGTAGTTAAGTAACAGAAATGTGTTGTTGGTATAAGAAGATTGTTTTGAGGGAAATATAATAAAGCTGGTCTTGGCAACATTAATTCAGATTTCTAGTGAATGATAAGGCAGAAAAATCTGGCAGAAAATTGGAATTTCAGCATTGGAACCTAGGAGCGACATTTGTGGTTAGACATTCAAACTGTATGTCCTCCCAGTAGATGTAATATAGAAAGCTGAAGTAAAGAGTTTAAATAAAGAAAAAATATCTGAGGAAAAAGGATGAATCTCTGAAATCTGTTTCCACTCATGAAGCAGGTTTAGATTTAGAGTACTAGGTAAGCAGAAAAGGAATGGTGTAAAGAAACAAGGGAGAAAGACACCAAGAGAAGGCAGGTCTTTAATAAAGGCTAGTGTGTTCAATAATATCTGTGGTTGCAGGGAAACTTATAAACAAAACTAAGAGAAGTCTACTGGACTAGCAATTAAAAGCCAGGCTTTTGAGGTGATTGAAAATCTATCATATTTTGTAAATCTTGGAGAATAGATATGTCAAAAGACTAAAAATGGTACTGACTTAATTTTCTATAAAGAAAAAAATTATATTAAATATAGACTTGAATAAGACACATTTCTAGAAAACAGGTTTATTTTAAGTTAAATTTTAGGAGACAATATTTAAATATTTTTAAAAATTTAATTAAAAACTTAAGCCATAGGCATGTCATTCTAACATAACTTTTTACTTTCATTGTTCTTTTATTTAAATAGACATTTTGTCATAATTTAACAATTTTGTTAAACTAATACAAAATATACTTACTAACTTACATATTTATTAATGTTGTGTTTGATTTTGTATTTTTATTAATAATTTTATGTTTTAATTGTCATTATAATTATTATTTTAATGGATGTATGATACTTCATCTTAAAACATACTACAATTTCTTTTGGTTCTTGAGTTGATTTTCTACATGTAAGAGTGAAGGATCATCAGTCAAGAGGGACTGCAGAAAGGAAATGTTAATTTTCCTTATATTCTTTGAATACATTGAGACTTTGTTTTTATCTCACATTTACAATATTTGTTTTCTCTTTTATGAACTGTTTATGTTCCACTTGCATGGGATGAAATAGCATTTTGCCCTGAAGTCCATGATTTATTCTTATACTTGATTAAACTACTGCCTTTATAACTTTATAATCATATACTGACATTTTGTTTAAAAACAAGATACATCTGCAAAACAAACATTAACACATTTAAAGATTTTTTTTTCATATAACTTATGGTTTTACACATGTAGAAAATGACTTCATGTTAGTGTTTTGAAATGATTTTGAGATGGACATCAAATAATGTGCCTAGAAACAAAAATTTTGTAGATTCTTTTAACTGTGGTAGAACTTTTAAAGCCATTTAGTTTTTCTGACTTAGAAATCAATCATTTGAGAATCTAGTACCAACAGAAATCAACAGAGGAGAGTGTCTCCACTGACGTATTGACAAATCTCCATTCAATATATTGGTAAAAGGATGTAATATTTTTGCATTAAAATATTTAGCTTGTAAAATTTTTATTGGCATATCAAATTGACCAACTCCTCCACCTTTGATGGAGGAGATAATCAAACTACTCAAGTACAGTACAGTCATTTCAAATCACGTAAGAACCCCAGTCATCCCTCTGTATACTTGGGGATTAGCCCAGGACCTCCACATGTACCAAAACCAACACATATTCAAGTCTCAAAGTTGGTCCTGTGGAAGCTATGTATATAAAAAGTCAGCCCTCCCTATAGGTGGGTTTTGCATATCTTGATCCAGTATGTACATTTTTGATCCAGTATGGTTGAAAAGAAAATCCATGTAAAAGTAGACCAGGCAGTTCAAACCCCTGTTGTTCAAGGAGGAACTGCATTTGCACGCTACCCTCAGGAAAGTGACAAAAATCTTCTTTGTTATAGCTTGAACCCACTTCCTCTTTTTTGATCTTCAGGAGGTAACACTCCCAGTTTTTTGATGTGTATTATGTGTAACAGAACTACCACATTTACTCCAGTAAAGCAGAGTTTACATCTATAACTTGTCTTCCGTCCATCACCTCTGTCCTTTAGTTATAGAAACAGAATAATAAGATAGTATGATATTTTTTGAGTAAGCATTGTGTGTGTATGCATATGTGTCTTTATGTGTACATAAACCAGTTAAATACAGATATTATAGAAAGCAATGAACCTATAGTTTCTGTCTTCAAAAGACTTACAAGTTCATTTGGCAATAAGATACTTAGCCATAAAGAACTATGTGGCACAAACTACACAATCAGGTATAAACCATGTAAATGCTTGAGGTATTAAGTAGTGCAAGGTGACTTGGAGATCATGGGAAGGCTTTGCAGAGTTGAGTATGGTACTAGTTCTGGAAAAGATGTTATCTACACATAAACATACAGAAAAGAGGAACAGAACAAGATAAAGAAAAAGGAAGAGAGAGATGTCTCCTGCCTCTCATCTGGGTGCACAGGCTGGCCATAAGCATTATTACATATATACCATGTTCTAGACTCTGTGTCTCACACTTTATAGATTTTTCTCAATTAAGCATGAGGCAAGTAAGAGGTTAATGTGTCTTTTTTTCCATTCCTTTTATTCATTCATTCATTCATTTTTGAGACAGAATCTCCTCTGTTGCCCAGGCTGGAATGCAGTGGGGTGACCATGGCTCACTGCATCCTCAACTTCCTGGGCTCGGGTGATTCTCTCGCTTCCACCTCCTGAGTAGCTGAGAATATCGGCACCTGCCACCACGCCTGGCTGAAATTTGGTATTTTTTTTTTTTAACAGAGATGGGGTTTTACCATGGGTCCCAGACTGGTGTTCCAAAGTGGTGAATGTGATTTTAATAAATCCTGTTTCAATTGGGGGATCATCTGGTATCCTGGAAGGTGAGTGTGAATACAAAACTGTCAGATCTGTCTCTTTTCCAAAACCCTGCCATCTTTCTCTTTTTCCTGCAGGCAAGAGGCTCTATTTACCTTCACGGAGTTTTAAACAGCCCTAACTGAGCTGGTCGAAATCCCCAGACTTTGATTCTTTTCTCTCACTCATGGTTTGAAATGGTTCTTGCCTCTTCCTTCATAAAGTTAACAGTTTTGCTATAGGCTGCAGCAATGTTACTAAGTAAAATGAGTGTTTGGCTCAGCCACTAAAGGTGCAAATCAGACTAATTGTTCCTAGAGGGGTCATCTTCACCTCCGCTCCAACAGCTGCAGACCCATGCACTTTAAGGCAGCTCCCCTTCCCTTTTCCCCTCCCAGCTCAGGTGCCTGAGCATGTCCACAGCCACAAGGGGTGGAAGGGGCAGGAGAAAACCACGGTGGTAGCCAAGACCCCACAGGGCACTTCGTGCCAGCCACGCCAACAGAACATTTCTACTGTGGCTGAGGAATTCAACCTGGTCTGAACTGGGGGAAGGACACAGGGATTAAAGTGGCCCACTTGCACTGAATAAGGGGTTCTTCCTCTAGGACCTTTCTTTTTGCTTCTTTAACTGTTTCTCTTATTTCTTTTTCTAAGTGAGAAGATTCCCCTCTCCCAGCACTGTTTCTGATAGGGAAACTAATGGAGGAACAGCCCCTTTTGGCTGATAACTGCACATTTGGCAGGGCAAATTTTTCATACTCTAACAGATACAGCCTCTGAAATATCTTTTCAGTCCCAAACATGATTCCAAGCTTTAGGCTGAGGCCCTAGAAAGCAAAACCAGGTCTGAGGGATCCAAAGCCAGGCAATAGGCGTAATGTAAATGGGCAGGACAAGTTTCTCCCAACTAAACCCCAAACCCCATGGCATAAACAGCCCCAGGGAACTGAAAGTTTGTCAATAGCAGGAAAAAATGGAAGTATAGGTGACAGTGGTTAATTTCTATAAAAATATCTCTAGATTTTCCCTGTTTCATGGGCACATACCTCATTGGTACCTATGGCTGGCACCTGTCAAGGTCTCCAGGAACTCAGGGATAAGAGGTGGAAGGGAAGGGAGGATGCTTACTTTGCTTTCTGTCTTCATCATACACTGAGTTTTCACTCAAAGGAGGAAAGGAATGAGGGACGCCTCTATTCCCTGTCTTTCAGAATGGGCAACTGGCTCTTGTCACCACCCCCAGCTTAGACTCCTCTGGCGTGTATCCTGAACTATTGGGACTGCTTTGACTCTCAGAATCTGGAGGAAAAATGATTCATAGTCCTCTGCACAAAGGTTTGGCCAAATTATGATTTACAGCAGGGACTAACTTGTCCTCAGGAAGGAACCATTCATTTCAACATCATCTGTCAGTTGGAACTTTTCTGCAGATGTGAGGACAGATGGTCTGAGGCCCCAAATGTGCAGGCTTTCTATACATTGCAAGGCAATCCAGACCTTTGCTAACAGTGTAGAATTGATCCAGCCCTCCTGTTTGCCATCTCAGGGAAGGCTGCAAGGGGTAAGTCCAGGGAATTAAAGAGTTCTGGAGGTACTCCCAGCAGAGGAACCAGCTCTCAGGCCCAGCTCCTCTGGGTCCACCTCAACCTCCCTATTCAGCTCTCACTTACCCCCTCCCAAAAATCCTCACCCTAAGCAAGCCCCAGTCTCACTCTTGCCCCTTCAACAAATGCCCAGCGAATTTGGGCCCAGTAAGGTCCAGGTCCCCTTCTCCCTACAGGAATTAAAGCAAATTAAGGGGGATCTTGGCAAGTTTTCAGGTGACTCTGATAGTTATACATAGGTTTTACAGAATCTCACCCAAATATTTGAACTCTCCTGGAGAGATGTTGTGTTACTTTTGAATTAGACCCTGACAGACACGAGAAGCAGGTAAGCAGCAGAGAGATTTGATGATGTGCTTTGCACCATATATAGCATCAGAGAAGGGAATGAACAGTAACCAACTGGAAGAGAAGCAGCACCAGTGAAGGCCCCTAAATGGGATCTCAGTGATGAGATGGGAGACTGGAAAAGGAGACACTTTCAGGTGTGCATAATGGAGGGCTTAGGTATGACTAAGACCAAGTCTCTCAATTATACTGTTGTCCATGATTGACCAGGGATTTGATGGAAATCAGACTGCCTTCCTGGAGAGGCAAAGAGAGGCCTTGGTAAAGCACACCTCTATCTCCTGATTCAGTTCAGGGAAAGCTAATCCCAAAGGATGGATTTATTAGTCAGGCAGCTCCTGATATCAGGAGGAAAGCTACAAAAACAGACCCTGGGACAGACAGTACATTAGAGGACCTCCTGAAGGCGGTGTCTTTTATAATAGAGAAAGAGGCAAAAGCTTTCATGGCCGCCACCCAAGGTCATAAACCCCAGAATTTCCATGGTACACCTGCTAACTGCTACAGATATGCCAAGAACATATCTGCAGCTCTTCTAAAGTTTAACCGCTCCCATACAAAGTTTAATTTCTTTCACCAGGGTGAAACAGCTCTGGGTACAATGTTGTTAGTATATTTCACTTCTTATCTCTGTAATCTTTGGCACTAAATTCTTTCCTTGTACAATACACATATTTAAACCCTGCATACTTAACCTTATAAAACTTGTTCTTTTTCTCTCATGCCTAGAAGCCACCAAACTCCAAACGGTCAGGCAACTGGAGCCTCAGATGATGGCTCTCATTTATCAGGAAGCCCTAGATAGACCTCTGGGAGGAATCTGACTGCCATTTTCCCCAAAACAGTGCCCCTGTTAGCCGGAAGCAGCTAAAATAGGTCATCATCCATATTTTAATGGACGTTAGATGTACCTCTTCAGAGGAGGGAAATGACATGGGAGAGGAGCAGGGAAGTGCTGGGAGGAGAAGGGTAGGGACCCTGGTGAGGGCCTGTGCCCACAGTGCTAGGTGAGGACAGGCACTTCTGTTTTCATGCCCAAATGTTGCATTTTCCAAGACAACCCTGGCCTGCCATGCCTCCATCCTGTGCCTGTAAAAACCTCGAAATCTTAGTGGGCACAGACACAAAGGGCTGGATGTCGAGAGGAACACACTGGCAGAAGAACACACTGACAGACACCAGCAGACACTGGCAGGCCATCTTCAGTGACACGAGGTGGAGTTTGACCAAGGGTGGTCAGAGAAGAGCCCGGCCACTGGGTGGCCCGACTGTAGGGGAAGACCACCTTCCCACTCCATTTCCCTTCTGGCTTGCCATCCATCTGCTGAGAGCTACTTCCACCATTCAGTAAAACTGTACACTCATTCTCGAGGTCCATGTGTGATCCTATTTTTCCAGTAAACTAAGGCAAGGACCCAGGATACAGAAAGCCCTCTGTCCTTGCAATAAGGCAGAGGATCTAACTGAACTGATTAACACATGCCACTTGCAGACGACAAAGCTGAAAGAGTGCACAGTAGCACACGCAGGCTAGGGCTTTGGGAGCTGTGAACACTCAGCCCTAGACATTGCTCTGTGGTAGGCACTCCCCGTGAGCTGCCTGTTTGGATGCTCCTGCTATGGGTATTAGCAGTGGAGCACCAAAAAAGTGAGCCACACCCCATCACAGGCCCTGTGAGGGGAATAAGGGAACTTTCCTGTTTCAGTTCCTGTATCATATTGTGTATTTTCAGGGTCACAGGACTCCTGACTGTTAATTAGTACTGTGTTTCGTGAGCTTTCTGAAGTATGTTGAATGCAAGGCTAAGCATATGACTTTCTAACTTGCCCAAAGTGTCCCTGATTGTTGAAGCACAGATAGTGAAATAGGAACAGACTGCAGTGGTCATTGATTTGCTGAAACTAGTTAACCCACATTTAATGAAGAATAGAGTTGTAAAAAAACATGTTTTTAAGTTGTTTGTTTCTAGCAGTAGATGATACTAAAGAGAGGTATAGAGAACAAAAGGGATCATAGGAGAAGTATAAGGGATGAGGTAATTTGGCAAAATTTCAAGACATTTCCTGAAAATGTAGACATTGTTAATTTTGCAGGCTGAAGGAAAAATGAAGTAAAGGTGGAGATTGTCTTTAAATATTCTTGCATTAATTTCATTGAACATGGTGACTGATCTCTGCTAGAATTTCTTTTTGCTGTCTTATAGCTAAGGGAAAATACACGTTTCTTTCTTTTTTTTTTTTTTTTTAATCACAATGTAATGTCTCTGCCTTTCGGTTGAAATAATCTATAATCTACACCTATAGTCTATAAGATTCTCTGCAGAGTAGTTGACAGTCAAGTGTTCAATAAAGAGTGATCTATCCTGGAACCTGTATAATTAGATTTCATTTTGCTTAGTTTATATTAGGTTGGTACAAAAGTAATTGCACTTTTTGCTATTACTTTTAATGTGAAAAAATGCAATTACTCTTGCAACAACCTGATACATAGTTTTCACTTGGTCATTTAGAAAAGATACATTAAATATTGTTTTTTGTTTTAGAAGTCTTTGCTCTTCAGTCTAGCAGTAAGTTTCTTTCACATTAGCTTTCAAAAAGTGAACCTTCAATTCTAAACTTTTGAGTTGTAATTTCAATGACTTTTCTATCTGTAATGTTCTCTGTCATTATTCCTAAGTGGCGATTCCTCAAGGATCTAGAAATAGAAATTCCATTTGACCCAGCAATCCCATTACTGGGTATATATCCAAAAGATTACAAATCGTTCTACTATAAGGACACGTGCACACGAATGTTCATTGCAGCACTGTTTACAATAGCAAAGACCTGGAACCAACCCAAATGCCCATCAACGATAGACTGGATAGGGAAAATGTGGCACATATACACCATGGAATATTATGCAGCCATCAAAAACGATGAGTTTGGGTCCTTTGTAGGGACATGGATGAACCTGGGAACCATCATTCTCAGCAAACTGACAGAAGAGCAGAAGATCAAACACCACATGTTCTCACTCATAGGCGGGTGTTGAACAATGAGAACACATGGACACAGGGAGGGGAGCACTACACACTGGGGTCAGTTGGGGGGAAATAGGGGAGGGACGGTGGGGGGTGGGAAGCTGGGGAGAGATAGCAAGGGGAGAAATGCCAGATGTAGGTGATGGGGAGGAAGGCAGCAAATCACACTGCCACGTGTGTTCCTATGCAACAATTTTGCATGTTCTTCACATGTACTCCAAAACCTAAAATGCAATAAAATAAATAAATGGGAAAAAAAAAAAAGAAAATCACAAGAACTTTGTTTCCAAAATAATAATTTTGAGAAACAATTTGAGAGTTTATACAGATTTTTTCTAAGTTTTGGTAATAGAAAAAATTCTTAAAGCTCATGGAAGGATTTCTATTTATATACTCCAGATAGGGAAATAGTAACTTGGTGATGTTTTAATAAAGAAAAATCTTGAGTATCAAACATTGATCAATGTTTTCTTTATTTTACTTGTACTGAAATGAGAACATTTATTTAAAAATCATCTGAACACTCAGCTGCCTATTCTGTCCTGTGTAATCTCATGTATGTGATTAACTACAAAACCTGTGTATTTATTTGTTCTTTTGAAAACCTATTTATTTTTTGCTTTTGAGGTCCCTGAAAATAATAGATGAACTTTTTTATTTTTAACCCATATTTACTATCCAAGGTATTAACATAAAATGCAAACCATCTCAACAGAATTTTTATTTTTTCTTGTATTTAACATTTATTATGAAAGTTATAGGTCTGAGACAATTATGAAAATTATAGGTATAGACAATTATGGAAAAAATGTATTTAAATAGAATGCGTTATGCTGCCAAAGTCTTAAATCGATCCTGACAACACTGGTCACAGTGACTTGTTTCCTTATTACCCCAAGGATTATTGGTTGATTTTTGACCATTCCAGCACCATTCCACATGAATACATTCCCATTTGATTTCTGCTGTTAAATATCTATTTAGACTACAGTTCTTGTGATTTTGTAAGATGATTTCCTGGTGGATTTCTTCATTTTCTTGACACAATAGATACCAGATTCAGCTATTATACTTTTCTCTGTAGCTTCCTTGGAGGTCTTTGGAGACAGGGGTGGTAAAGAAAATTTCCCACCTTTGAGGTCTCACTTTTCATGGTTAGTGTAATTCTATTTTCTCAAGCTACAGTTTCACTGAAAGTGACATGTTTCTTCTTAGTTCTTTGTTATTTATGTCTTTTCAAATTTCCAGGAAGTGTGATTTCTAAAGCATGGTCAATAAGTAGGCTACTATTGTTCCTAAAGTGGAAATTACATTAGCAGAGCAGAAAGTGAGATTTTTTCTTGTAGTTCCTACCTCTGAATTCATTTTGATTCAAAAAGGCATTTAGCAAATACATAGTTCCAGTTCCAGAAATGAACAAAATCACCTCAGTGTCAAAGTCATAGCCCTTGATCAGCAGAAGGCGAGTTAGAGGCTGATGACTGACTTTTTGATTCACAATCATTGAAGCATCTCTACACCAACTGTAACCCTCTAGGAAAATTAGTTGGTATATATTTTGCTTAATTATCAAAGATGTATATGTGTATTTTAATTTTTTCTAAATTTGTCATTTAAGATGAATATATAAACATCTTCAGAAGATATATATAATATCTGTCTTCCAAAGATAATGAAGGTCAACCGTATATTGTGTATTTACCTACTCACTGAAATTTATTTGTAACCCCAAAATCAATGCTTGGTTATTTGCAGACATGGATGTATATAGAGAGAGTGGCAAAAAATTTGAGTCACTTAAAGCACAGGTTTCCAGCTGAAGGTAAACAAAGAGACATTTTGCCTTCCTGTTTCTGTTCCCCTATAATTTAACAAGCAGGTTTTTTGGTGGTTTATTTTGTGTGTGTGTATGTGTTGCATTTTCTTGGCCATTTTGTTGTTTAATGGTCCCAAAGCATAGTTCTGAAGTGCTCTCAAGTGTTACTAAGTGCAAAAGACTGGGACATGCCCTGTGGAGAATGTAGGTGTGCTAGATAAATTTCATTCAGGCATTAATTATGGTGCTGTTGGCCATACGTTCAATGTTACTGAATCAACAATATGTACTGAATGTGATTTTAAACAGAAATATGCATAAAGCAAAATTATATATTGGTCAGTTGAATTAAAATATGATCACAGGGTCATAGGAACCTAACTCCACATTTCCCATAGAAACAATGGTTCAGTATTCATTAATTCAGTGCTCATTGTGACTTTATATAACCATGACACCCATAGTTACCATGAATAACAAGAATCAACTGTATGTGGTATAAGAGGAGAGAGTGTTAACTTTTCTCCAGGCTCTTGTTGCATGTGCATAGGTTTGTTATCTCAATTTAACTTCGAGACTGCAGTTTTCCATCTCTTTAATAAGAATGATAATTCCAGAGCCACTGTCTGAAAAGTGTTGTTTTAAAGACTGAATGAAGTGATATGTATAACACTGCTTTGTAAACTGAAATGATGCAACAGGAGCAGAAAGCATTATTTATTTAGAGGGAGGAAAATATACTAGAGATTTTATAATGACTAATGCTTACCACCATTTTGTAAGAATATTCAGTTCTTTCTTGATTTAATAAGATGACAAATCACATGTTAAGCTGTTAAAGAGTTTACATCTGAAATTCAAATTCCATTTTAAGTAGGAGCATTGTCTTTTCTTTTATCTGTTTCCCAAATTATTAAAGCATATTACATTGTGTAGGAGCGAAATTGAATAATAAAGAATACTGTGGACTTGCATGTATTTCTATCTTTTGTTTTCTCTGGGCCAGCTCTGCTTAATTTACTAACACATAAATCTTTCCTACCATAGTGCTGGAAAGTCAATTTAGCTGAGGAAGAATGAAGCTGAATTCTGTTCTGCCTCATGCATCACCAACAAATTGCTAGGCCAGTTAAGTTTTGATTGCAGAATATTTATTTCTGGTGACAGATGTTGCTGATGTAAGAACCTAGATGATCACAGCTTGAATTAGCCGGGGTTGAGGTTGAAAAAAAATTGAAATGGAAAGTGTTAATGGAAGTAAATATGCAACATCAGGATGACATTTTTAGTGTTATATTTCTGATGATATTTTTGTGGTAAATAGGGTGTGACTACATTTGCATGCAGGCAATGACTTTTGGCAGAAAGATGGATACAGCCTTTTATGAAATCACATTCTTAAGGAGACAGTTTGGTAATGGAACCTAGGATAGTTAAATTTGCTACACCCCAAATACTTGTTTGGATCAAAGCAGAGTCCAGAGTGGAGACTAGTTACTAAAAATCGTGGTTTCTGAGAAGGTCTGCTTACTGTATACCTGTATTATATCTATTACATCTCATATCATATCATCATAGTTTTCTTTACCTTTCTTTTCTAGTTGTCCAGAAATGACTATGAACATCTTTACATGTCATAGTTTTTCGACGACTGTTAGATGAAAAATAGCTGCATAGACGTAATTCCCCCATTTCCACACTGAATGCATGCTGACTTTCACATGAGAGGAAAAGAATCATTGGGGGTCTTGTCTCCTTGGCAAGATCATGCATAGTTTTATGCATAAAGGTTTTTGTGGCCCCACATGAATCACTAATGGTGATATGTCAGGGAGGTGTGACAGGGAGGCCACTGAGAAGGCCATGGCAGTAATTCTTCCACTACAACCCCACCTTCCCTCTTTGAAAACAGCCAAAAGTTGTTGACCCAATGGGTCTTTCGTTCTTGCTGTGAAGTTGTTGAACATATAAAACGACCGTTAGAAATCCTGTTTTTTACTCATTGAAATGGTGAAAAAAATGAATAATTCCTATTGACACAGGATGTTTTCTTGACCCCTTTGTGGGACTTATGGCAGGGATGCTCCATTTACTCAGCCTGCCCTACTCAACTCCTCATGGACTGGAGCATGCAGGTAAATGAGTCTGGGAAACAGAGCAAATGAGTGCAAGAACTGGCCAGCAGCTTCAGCGCCAGCAGGAGCACACTCTGTGCAGGCCCTGCGGCATCATCCAGGTGGGGGTGCCTGTGACCCCAAGGCCCCAGGGGGCATGTTGCAATGCTCCGTTAGCTCCACTGTCCATGGATAGCAGTGTGTTATCATCTCAGGGTGCCCTTTTCTCATCACATGGGGAGGTTGCCCTCTTCCAGCAAGGGCAAAGGGCCTGTCTGACAGCTTCATTGGGTATTCACACTTGGTGCATCTTGAATTCTTATTTGGTGACCAGGAGGAATGAAGTCATGCAGATAAATTGAAGGATGGTGAATGAGGATAATTTTATTGAGAAATGAAAGCAGCTCTCAGCAGAGAGGGGAGCTAGAAAAGAGATGGGAAGGAAAGTCCTAAGTGTCCAGGGTCACTCTCTTCTGAGGTCAAGCCTCCTCTCTGCCTTTCTCTTCCAAAGTCAAGTTGCCTCTTTTCAACATCTAGCTGCCATCCCTGAAGTCAAGTCACCTCTCCCCAACATCCAGTAACTTCTCTTTTCTATCAGCTGAGTCTGAAGTTTTTATAGGCACAGGATTAGGGGGCAGGGTGGGCCAT